ATTTAAATAAAATAATTTATTATGTATATATATATATATATATATACATATATATATATATATACACATATATATACATATTAAAAAATTTTGTTGTTAGTTATTATTGGATAAGAAATTAAACAGTTCTTCTGCAATTGATTATATTTACTTAAAATTCTTTTACGTTTATTAGTGATGATGAATAGTGCAAAAAATTGAGTGTAATCGCGCTCTTTTGATGTCAAAGATAAGATATTCGTTGTATGAGTCATATAAAGGTAATTTAAATTATTTAACATTACAATATGACTATATCAAATTGTAAATAACATAAATAATTTTTTGCTACTTTTTGTAAAAATTGAAACATTTCATATTTTTTAAATATTCATATAATTTATATATAACAAATAAAATTTTTTTTATAATTTGGAATTTAGAAATATTTGTACTACATAACTTACCAATAATTATATTATCATTGCTTATTTCTATATATTTCAAAATGATTAAAATATTTTTTTAGTAAATGGATTCAATTATTAAGTAGGAAATATTTGATATAAAAATTTTTAAACACAAAATATAAAGAAATACAGAAATTCTGGCACATGTTTTCAATACTTTAACATTATTTAACAATAACAGAAGTATAAAATATAAATAGTACCAATATAATTTTCTGTTGTTTATGTTATCTAATAACATTGATTATAAGTAATCAGTGCTTTCCTGAGATGCTAAAAAGTGTATGATGTTAAAATTTACATAAAAATGCATGTATATCATTAATATCAAAGCACACTACGATTTTCCTTTCTTGAATCTTTGTCTTGCTTGTGCTTTACTATATTTGGGATGTTTTTCTTTTTCATTATTCATTTCAGTTTCAATATCATCAAATTCTTCTTTGTTATCACCAAAAAGATCCACTGGAGGTTCCAAAAGTGATTTTCTCTGACATTTTATGAAATAACGGAATCCTTTTGCAATGCCAAAACCCAACATTGCTATAGACATTGTCAATAAGGCCATCAAAAGAGGATGTTGCATCTAATGAAAAAAAAAATAAAATAATCATTATAAACATTTGTTTTAAAACTGATTTCTAAAACTATTAAATCAATTTAAATACCGTTAATGTAGGTTTATTTGTAAAAACATAATCTGCAATTACAACTATTACACCAAGTATGATACCAACACCAGCTCCAAGCCAGGGTATTTGTTGATCAGCTAAAAAATAATTTTACTATTTACTATATTAATTTAATATAATTTTTTTATAATTTTTTATAATTTTAATATAATTTAATATAATTTTACTTATTTACTATATTAAAATATATAAAATATTTTTAGTATAATTATTTTAATATTATTGATACCAATACCTCGTTTGTCTTTAATTAATAATCGGGACACTCTATTCATTGCCTCTAAAATTGTTGGTTCATTTGGTTGAAGGGATAAAGCTTTATTGTAAGATTGAAGTGCTTCACTGAAACGAAATGTTTGTGATTCTACTTCAGCTTTTCTAAAATAACCCTATAAAAAGATTAAATATGTTATGATTTTATTCAATATATATAAATATATATTTTGCAAAATTTATTTTTTATTAATAAACATAAGAATATTATAAATATACCTTGGTCCAATCAGGTTTTAATTGAATTGTCATTAATGCATCTTCCATTGCAAAATGATATTGTTGTAATTTTAAAAATGCAAATGATCGATTACTATACAAGGAATAATTTTGTGGATCTAGTTTAATGGCATGAGTATAATGAAACATAGCTTCTTCGTATTTTTGTTCTTTTACACACGCGTTTCCACGTTCCTTGAGATTTTGTACCTTCAATGAAATTGTGATAATGTAATAAGTAAAGTACCGCAATATTAACTTTAAACTCTTTCATAACGTAATATAGATTAATTTCAATATTAATTTACATAAAAAGATGTTATGTAAATTATGTTCGTGTTTATGTTTTAATTATTAATTAATAATTATAATTATATGTTTAAAAGTAAAAATTATAAGTACTAAAATATAGATACGAAACAGTTATAAACGCTTACCTCTGCTTCGCGTGTGTTCGACATGTTCACAATAACTTTGGCAATTAATTAAAATAAATTAAAATAAATAATTTTATAAATTATTATCTAACGTATGCGTTATCATTGTCCTTCAGAGTAATCGTAGTTAATCTCTTATCTATTAAAAATAGTCAACAATAAGAAGCAATCGAAACACCTGCCATGTCGTTTTCACCGGTAAGTACATGCGCGGTGAACATTGACATGTGATACTGCACTGCGCATAGTCCTCCACCCGTTGTCAGCTGTATTATGTTAAAAAAGTTTAAGTAAAATAAAAATACATTGATACTTCTAATACACAGTATTTTTTCATTAAATATTGTTAAAAAACTATCCATATAAAAATGGACAAACGAATTTCATAAAATAAACAGATTTTTTTCTATTCGATTTGAAAAAAATGATCGAAAATTATCAAATAAAAAAGTTCCTATATTTCGATGAAAGTTTTTTATTGAATTAGATTAATTAGATATGTATGTAATGTAATGTGATAATAATATGTGTATATTTAAAGTTGTTTTGAATATATATTGAAATACATGTGTACATAAGACATGTATTAAGAAATTTTGTATTTTTAATAAAAAAAATAGTTATAACCTCTTTTTATATTATAACCTTTTTTTTATATGAAACATTTTTCATCATAGACAATAATAATGATATAAATCAAAATAATATTAGATAAAACAGATTGTATTTCATATATTTTTATATCATCAATTATTATATATTAATGACATATATAGGAATATAAGAATTGAATTGATTCAATTTATGTGTGTATTTAAATACATATAAAATAGAGATATAATATTTAACGACAAAAAATTATAAAAATAGGAAAATAGAAAAAAAGAACAGTTTTTTTTTATCATTTTAATATTTGAAATTCTCCATTTCATACAAATTAAGTGGGGGCATTATAATACAAACTTAAAATATATACATCGATATTTCGTGAAACTTCTCAAATAACTATGCAACTCATTCATTTAATCCATAATCTCTAAATTTCTTTTCATTATTATTGATTTATTTATTTATTTTTTTATATGTTTTTTTATTTCGCTCGAACCTACATCATGTATACTGTGCAACGAAACTGGCAAGTCGTCTGAATAAATATTTTTTTTTAATTAGCCGTCAAAATTGATTACGGCCAATCTATTACTTTTAATAAACAGCATCCATAATATATAAATGGAGAATCGGATACAACCTCATTTTAGTCAGTTCGACGAATGGAATTAGAGGTTTCTCGACAAAACACTCTGTCCTGATTATCGACGAAACGACAGGCACTAATAGCGAGTGTCAATATTATTTTATTCAGATCGATTATTTGTATCAATTGCTCGAAAGTAACGATCTTTGCTGTAAAATTGTGTTTCAAATAGACTTTTCTTTTTTCTTTCTATTTTTCAATGACATTTATTCGTTTTCATTTTTAATACTAATATATGATTACGATATCTTCGACCAAAACATTCTTGGTGAAAATAACGGATACTGATCATTTTTCGAGTACAATACAAAAAAAAGATCGATATAACGGACAGATTAAGAATCCTTACGATTATTGGAGGACAAATGGCAAACATTTGTATTCTCGCCAAGTTGCTGTACTTATTATTGCCCAAGTGGGACGGAAGTCACGGATGATTTTGGCACTCCTGTTTTATTTTCTAACGCCTATTCACCTATGCGATCCTTTTCTATTTTTCCTACGTGCCTTTTTATCTTTTATTTCATTTGTCTTTTAATAAATAAAAATTAACATTATAACATATTATTAACATATTAACATATCAATCGCAGAAATATATATGTATAAAGAAAAAAAAATTACAATTCAATATAAACATTTTTTTTTATTATCTTCTATTTTTTCTATTATGTTTAATTTTATTTTTACTGAATTTTAATAAAAAATTCAATAAAAAATGAATAAATTTTAAAACAATGTTATGCAAATTTATCAGAAACAATGGAATACGATTAACTGAAATGAGAATCACATAATTTAATTATATAAGCAGAATATGACAAAACAAAATAAAAAAGAACAGTCAGGAAAGAAGTGAATCCGCACTGGGACGAAAACTTGTTTTCTACACGCAGCACGTGCGCAATTCGATCATTGAGTCGATCCGATTCTCCATTATCACGAATCGCCATGTTTACCGTATATATACGCTTTTCATTTTTTTTTCTTTTTGTTTTTGTTTTCTTTTCTTATGCACAACCCACATCAGTTATTGTTACTCGTTACTGTAAATTGTAAGTGTAAATTGATTTTTTTTATCCAGACTTAAAATACATTTTATACATACTCCGTTTACATTCTTGTGTAGTCGTCACCATAATCGTCGTCGTATGAATTGTCAAGCAGTAGTCGTCATACAAGAAAAAACACAATATGTATTTAATTATTACATATCTATATCGTAGCTTGATCTTATTGTAAAAGCCATCGACTTACTCACGTTCTTTTTTTCTTCATTCGACAAAGAGAACATCATCATTCTTTTTACATATTAATTATATTTTCATTACGTTCACAAGTTTCCATTCTAACCTCTTCTTGTTTCTTTTTTTTTTTTCATGTTCCGAGTAGCATTTTTATAATTTTTTTCTTCGTACAATTTTCACACGTATATATTTAACACGCACGGTTCTTATGTTTTCTTTTTTTTTTTTCTTTTACTCTCGAATAAAATAAAAGCACGCGGGGAAACGGCCGGAACTATGCGTGAAACAGAATCGTAGTAAGAAACGGAGGAAATTGTTTCGCGCAATAGCGTTTCGGTTCTGTGTGCCTCTCGCCGATAACCACAAACTGAAGAGTCCACTGTAGAAAAGAAATTGTCTTTTTCTCTCTCTTTTTTCCCCTACTTCTCTTTTTCCACCGGTATACTTTGTTGCTATTCTAACTATATAATAGTAATTCGTCAACGATTATACCAGGCACGTTTTGATTTTGGAACACGAAGAGATCTACGTATAACAATTATATTTACGGGGAATATCCATGGACTCAGTTGTGTTGCAACATATATCTTTTTTAGGTATTAATTAGGCATTAGATATAACATTTAATTCATTTCGTGAAAATATTTCAGTAGTAGCTGAAAACATAACCTTAACATCACAATTAAATCTTAGATCTACAATTTTGTTTTTATTATTTTAAACGAAAATTTCTTTATGCTATACTTAGTGAAAGTGAATATTAATTGAAGTAATTAGGGGATTATATACGTATATATTATAGAAATCATTAGGAATGAAAAACTTCACTAAAATAATGATTTTATTGAATAAAATTGGAATATTTAAAATATATACTATATTAAGTGATAAATTTATGTTTTAGTTTTAGAACGATCCCCTAATAACTTTGTGAAATATTTTAGAACACTCGCGACTATTATGAGACATTGTGTTGCTAAAATAATTTATATATGCTCTTTATAAGGCAACAGGCACACGTTATCTAGATTTTTACTATAGTTTGATTAAAACATATGCATATGATATGACTTCATGAACAATTATTTGATTTACATATTTGTTTTGTGTTTACACAACACAAACAATTGGCCAAATCAAATTCAGATAATTGATACTTATTATGTTTTTTAAATGCGAATGAATTTTTCGTATTATTTAATTGTTAATACTTTTAATTATACATCTTCTATATAAATTTAGGATTAGCTATTAACATTGATAAAAATATGCCAATTTAAAATTGATAATTTGTAACATTTCTCGTGTATTCAACATTTAGACAAAAAATGTTCCCCGCTTACAAAAAATATGATTTTTTTTAACAATTTAATTATACTTGGAGATAAATATTGATTTTGAACCGTCGCAACATTGCACGTCCCAGTCTAACACTCGAGGATAACATAATCGAATGATTAACATATTTATGTAATAACATTAATTAACATTAATAATAATAATAATAATAATAATAATAATAATAAAGAATAATAATTATCATAATAGTAATAATAATAATAATAATTGTAATAATAATTAACGGAAGAAAAAATGAGGGGGAAAGAAAAAGGAAGTAAAATAGAATATAATCAACAGAGAAAGAAAGACAGAGAATAATAAATCTGTTTCTTTCCCCCACATATATCATAGTTGTTCCGATATCGGAGAGAAATATACATATTTCTTCTTCTTCCATTTATAATCATTTATTATCAAGTTAAATCGTTTTCCTCCTGTCGATAATGTTCCACGCAGTCATTTATCGCACTTGCCAACAATATTTAAATATTTTTTTCTTTTTTTTATCCAGTTTTTGCCTTTGTATATATATATATATATAGGTAATGATTGCAAATATAACTATATAATGAATACATGAGCCTTTGTCAGGGGAAGCAATGCAGTGTCGTCAATAAGAGTCGCATATTATACATATATCTATCGACGGGATGATCCATTCTATGGGATCGTTTAATCATTTTATGTTGTATATTTGTATTTGCGCATATATGTGTGATTCTTTATCTATTTTTGCTTATCGTTCATTTATTCGTCAAATTTCTTTAAATATAAAGAAAAGAGAAAAAAAAAAAGGGAAAAGAGAAAACAACAAGTTTCGTTTTTTTTTTCTATATCGTTGTCGTTCCATTTCCCCTGTTCCTTTCATTTTTCGAAAATAATGGAAAAAAAATGAAATTTTCAAAATCATTAAAAGACAATATTGGCCTCGATCGGTAAAAATGATAATAGCTGAGAGGACAATGAAAAGTCCCAACTTGCCTTCTATACATTTTAAGTCATCATATTTTATAAATCGAGTCATTCAATCATGTGAAATAATATAAAAAGCACTTAGAGAATATAACTTTCTCTGATAGTATGCAATAATTTTTGTATTTCTTGATAATCGCATTGAAATACCAATCTCGTAATCATTCCATAGACAAAAGGCATCCATCGTCGTTTTTTATCATTAAAACCAATGAAAACAATTTCGATACATCATTCATGGTGAGCACGAGATTAGTTTCTATTTCTTTATTATTACTATTTTTTTTATATTTTCTATTTTTTTTTTTTTTTTTTTTTTTTTTTTTTTTTTTTTTTTTTTTTTTTTTTTTTTTTTATATTTTTTTCTTTACAAACCTACTCTTAGTTTGATATGGGTAATAGAAATCATGTTTCTTCGTTCTCCTTTATTTTAATTTTCTTCACCGTCCAAAGTAACATTCATGATGATTTTTAATGAGTATATTTTATACTTCTCTCTTTTTCGCGTATCACGAAGTTTCCTTTCTTACGTTTAATTCGATTTTGTTCCTTGCTCGAACACCATGGATAATAAGATTTTATAATTGAACAAGTTTCTCGATAACTTCGATGTGACGGACAAAAAGGATGGTTGAATGTAAAAAGTCAGGTATTATTTAATTCTAAGATCATGTAATTAATCGATATCTACATTACTAATAATATGTACTAATACAAAATAAATAAAATATTTGTTCAATTTATTTTGTTTCAGTCAATTCGGAAACATTAAGATGTGTTCGAGCAAAGTTTAAAATTACCCAATATCTATGTATATTTCTAAGGCTATTCCTGTACAAAATGATGTCACATGCTTAGATCATCAAGATTAATGAATGTTATGTATATACAAAAAATTACGACTTCTTCATGTCTTAACCTCTCGAATGTTTAAACGTTATTTTTTTTTGCTATAGATACATGCATACATACATGTTAATCCAAATTTTATAATAGGTTATGTACCCTTCGTATTGTATATTTGCAAAAATCAATTTATATATATCAAAACGTTAGCTCATCGGACGCATCATTATAATTAATTAAAACTTAAATGTTTTGATACAATAGCGATAATGTTTACGATTAATTTCGATGTATGTGGAAAGATTTGAAAGATCTTTCCCTGTCGATAATATTCAAATTATAAACATTTTTTGCGATTGTGAAATGTATATATTTATTATGCGAATCGTAAAAGCGTAGTATCATATCGCTTAACATAAAAACAATGACGAATGAACAATTCGCGCGTTTTACGTCATTGTGTCGAAGAAGTTAACATTTCGATTAATCGTGTCAGACAACATGGAATCAACGAAAGGAAAAAAAGTGATCACGGGATCCCATTCTATTATATTGCAAATATAGGTTTCCAATTGATGAGATATTTCTTCATCGAATCTCTATCGAACGAAATCTTTATGCAATCTATGTTACAAAAGATTGTTACAAAGATTCTAACATCACAGTCAAAAAATATAGTACTATGCGATAAACAAACATGTTATACCGCTCGTCAGGTAACTCATTCGTCAGTAAAAATCTACTATAATAAGCAAGGAAGAAAATGACCATAACAATATTTTCAGGTCTAAATTATGCCCGTTTTGTTGTCCAATAACTTGTCACGATTATCCTTTCTCTTCCCTTCCCTTTATATCTTATCACATACGACAAACGATTTATGTTGCAACAATAAGTGAATCTTTAATCTTAATTCGAAATATTCGTCTCTCGTAAGAAACTTTGGAAAATTTCTTCGTTGTTAGTAATATCTCTGAAAGCATTCGCCATAAGAATTCGAAATCACATTTCGACGAGAAACTTCAATATCATGTTGCAATGAAATGGAAATATTAGTATATTCACACATTATGTGTCACGCGAAAAAGAAAGAATACGATTGGAAATTACTTTTTGTTGGCAATTATGATTTGCGCATGTACGAAATGCAGTACCGAACTAGTCACGCGATCTATACATCGTTTAATTAACTACTTAATGCACTTCATTTGGATTGATATGATTTTACGTATCGCATATTTTTCAACTTAATTGATTGATTTGTTAAAAACAAACGAAAATGAAACTTCCTTTATTCGAAAGCGTAATTTTCTTTACTTGGGTATTTTATGAAAATCATAAATGAAATTGGAAAGTTTGCTATAAGATTGATATACCAGAATTGTTTTGTCAAGACACGAGATCTTTTTGTACATGTGTTATAATGATCATAAAATGATGGATAGTGTAATTAAAAACCGGATTTTGTATAATTAGATAATCAGTAATATTAGATATTTCCTTTCTATAATTGCAATTTTTAATAATAAGTTTGTTGATATTAAATCATATTAATTAATTGATTATTATTTAAGATTAAATCAGATATTTGAAAATAAAACAAAATACATAAAATAAAATTTTAAAAAATGTTAAAAGATAAACAAATATATCTACGATTGTAACCAAATTATAAATTTTTATTTTCTAATAATTAGAAATATTGTTGAAAAAAGCTCTATTATTTTATGTTATAACATATCATAACAAAAATATTTATCTTTATTTCATTGAATAGTTTTAAATTTTAGTTTTAAATCTAATATATTGCATGATTATTTTTAGCATATGTTTTAAAAATATAGCCAATGAGTCATTTTAATTACGAATTTAGATTTAAAATATTAAAATATTGTAATAAACAATTCTGTTGATGAATATTTTAAATGATTGTATCAAAATTCGTTAAAAAAAACTCAATCTTTTTCTAAAAATAAATAAATAAAAAAAAGCAAATTTACCTTCAATTGAAGTATCGAAATAAAAAATTCGAATTAAATATTGATTTAAATTTTCAATGGTCTTTGATAAAAATCTATTACATTTAATATTCTATTTAATGACTTAAAATATTTTCAGAACACACGTCGAAAAATATGATTAACAAATCACAAGATAAAATTTTGTATATTATATAACCTATATAAGAGAATTTTTTTTAATTCGTTTCTCATGTTTATAAAGACTGTATCCTATAAATCATTTTGATTTTTTTTCTTAAATCGTTCTCCTCGCTTAGCCATATGATGGAATACTATATTCATGCAACATTATATAACGAGAAATTTTTCTGTTATGTCAGGACGGCCGAAAGAGGCAGTGGAGACAGGGATGGACGAAAAAACTAAAATAATCTGTTGCTACTCTTGTAATAATTTGAAGATTTGATTAATTGGAGATTTGATTATCGAAATTATCAGAATTATCGGGAAAAAAGTATGATGATAATAAATAATTAGAAAAAATCTGAGTAATCTTTAATTATTGAGAATATATTTTTAGCACATGAATGTTTAAGCTTTTTAATCTTTGTCCTTTTAAATATTTTATTTTTTTTTTAAATTTTAGAGAAATTGTGCAAATATTTTTATTATAATTTCATTTTTAATAAGAGATTTTTATTATATTTATTTTACAATACATCTTAATTAGCATTTGACACATAAATTTAAAAAATAAATTTAATTTATTTTTAACAAAAGTGAAAATTTTTAAAAACATTCACAGATTGAAAAGTTTTTCAATTTTGTTCAAGCGTTATAATGAGGAATTTTTTATCAATAGAAACACTAACAAGTTTGAAGCGAAAGATTTTGCAAAAAGAATGATCGAAGAAATCTCGTTTCGAAGAATATCCAAAGCGTCGACAAACTGATAGGACTCAGCGACACTTTACGATTATTAGATGATTAACGATCCGACATTTAGAAAGAGAAAGGGGGACCATGAAAAAAAATATAAAAAAATCGACACCAATAAAACACCAATGAAAAATCTAACAACTTAAATTTTAATTTTATCTAAAGCGCGGCACATCATCTCACTTTTTTTTCGTTTTACACAACTTCCTCAACTATACGAAAGTTCTCTTTTTAAAAATTTATCTAAGTATATGTCATTTCGATAATGATACGTTTTCTCCATGAACAAGGAGGAAATGAGGAGTAAGGAAAGGGAGATAGTTTCTTTACAAATGATGCTTTTTTTCAAAACTCGTTAATATTCTAATAAGTTTCTAATAAGTTCCTTCTTTAGACATCAAAAGAAAAATATTTCTGAAAATTTTCCTCTCTTGTCAATGTTCATACGTATTAATATCGTAAGAAATAATGCACATGGAATTACACTAAATATATTGTATATATATATTTTTATAATATATATGTATATATGTATAGTCATTATACTCTTGCTTCGCTAAAATTGGCACTTGGATTTTCTGCTTTTTTTCTTTTTATTCTTAAGCTTTGAAAAAATTAAAAAAAAAAAAATTTAAAAAAGGAAAAAAAGAAAAGAAAGAGAGAGAGAGAGAGAGAGAGAGAGAGCCAAAAATTGAAACAGACATAATAATTAATAGAATTTACTGGTCGAAAATTTTGATTCGTGAAAAAAGTCTGATACTGTTCTTTCTTTACTTCGTGTTAAATATTACACAATGACGTAGATGATAAGACATTACGTATATATACATATACGTACACGTGTATATATCTGAAAATCGATGATAAAGTGTGAATTATTTTTCGAAGTCTTCCATTGATTCAATGACCTGAACGTGATTATTTCATCGTTTAAACAAATCTTTTGAGAAATTAACTAAGAAGATAAATATATTACTTTTTTTGTTAAATTTGTGTACAAACAAATAGGGAAATATGATAATACCGAATAAAGAATGATTCATAAAGGAATGAAAATAAGTAATAAATAATAATAATTATATTCTTTCAAAAACGAATGAAACATAATAGAAGAAAATTTTTTTAAAAATTGATAAAAAAACTGGCAATATCGAAAAATAAAATTTTAAGAAACAAAAAATTAAAAAAAAGATAAAAAATAAAAAAATGTAAACAAGAGATTGATCTAAACATCTTGGAATTTTGATTAATCTTAAATTGATCACGCGATCTTCGATTTTGAATATACTCGACGATATCAAAACGCGTGTTTATAAATTGCATATGATTGATACATGTGTTTGTAATTTCGATCATTCAAATAAATTCGATATCAAAAGTTTTGAGAAATCAAATCTGTAACGATACAATAAGGTAATAAGGAAAAAATGTAGGAGGCAATAGAAATGAAATTCTTTTCGTTTGAAGCGTTTTAACAACAGAATAACGAAATTGATAATATACAGACGATCAAACTTAATCATTACGAATTATCAAATGCATTGTTAAGAGCACTTACTTCGCTATGACGTTATTTTTTTCTATACAGATATCATTTATTTCATTTAGTTTTGAGCTTATATACTGAGCTTCAAATATTTTTGCAAGTCTGAAAGAACTAATAATGAGATAAATCTCTAATGTATTATTCTCATCTGATATTCTGTCATTTCATGCATATTCCATTGAGTATTTGGATCCATTAAATGTATATACTCTCACGTTTGAAATGTGGCGCTATTATTGCATCGTTTACTTAAGTTGCACTTGAATTTTATGATTTTCTATGAACCGAGTGTTTTTTAATTCAGTCTCTTCAGTATTGTTTCTGCTTCAATTTGATTATGATTTTACACCCTTGATTGATATTATTTATATACATATTGATTGTGACAATAACAAAAATAAACATGTAAAATTTCATAAAAAATTGTACATAAAATTAATTGAAATTAATCAAAGAAATAAAGAGAACATTATTTAAATAATTGATTTAAATTTACTTTTTTCTTGGATTATTATTTTATTATTTTTTCTTTTTAAAATTTACTATTTACGTCATAGGAATGTTATAAAAATTTAGTATATATAAATGATATATATACTAAATAATTTTATTTGCTCTATAATCAGCACGCAAATGATGAAAATATAAAAATTAAAGTTGGAATATTTATTAATTATTTTAATTAATCTAAATACGAATATTTTACTGAACCATCGTACACCGAAGTGAATATGTATGGCACAGTATGACAACATTAAAAAAATTTTCTCTCTTTTACGCGTTTTCTTTTTATTCTACGCATTATATAAATACCTGTTGTATATAATTACATTCACTATTTTTTCATTCTCTAGTTTGATTGTAAAAAATGGTAAAGTGTAATGAGAGTAAAAAGAAACGCATGAATTAATATTTCATAATTTTTATTATATTTTTTTTTTTCTTTTCGTAAATGCAGGGGAAAAAGAGTGAGCAAAGATAAAATTGCCTATCAATTATATCTACAAAAAAAGGAACATGGTCCAAATTAAATAACAACGAATGATTCCTATATTTTTTAGTTACAACTAAAACCATAACTATTTCGATATTAGCATTTTTACAATTTTCATTTATTTTCGTGAACTCACACACGATAGGTCTTATAATGATATATATATATATATAT